GATCTGGGCCAGTCACCGCCTGGGCAGACGGTGTCGATCCTTGCTTGAGCTTGGTCCGAGAAAGTGTTTCAAGCTCGGCGGTCAGGGCAGCATGGTACGACATAACTACGCTTAAGGTGGGCGCAGCTTCGATTTTCAAGGTAGCCCTCACCAGGTTTATCCGGAACAGGACTTCAGGGCTTGCTTCCAAGACCGGCTTAACGATCACCCCTAGGGCCTTTGCTAAGATGAGAGGATCGGGCACCCCCCCACCTAAGGCTTCAACCCTAGTCAACCAGCGCTTCCACCTGCGAAGGCTCTCCAGAGCAGTTTGGGGATTGGTTCCAGGCGAAGGCTGCTGGAGCTGCTGCAAAGCCATCTCTCGCTCCTGGACTCCACCAGGGGCATACAGAACATGAAGACGGCACAAGATTGCCAACGGGGATCGAATCCGGCTAGCAATCAGCTCCTCTCGGACTGACTTGGGGCAGGCACCTAGGAACAATGCTTCGAGCCGCTTGGACACTCGACTCCACCGGGCACAGGTGAGGTGTTGGCTAGGCGAGGGTACCAGAAGCAGGCGAGCAATGGGGTCGGCTCCCATGTAACTGGCATACCAGCTGCTGGCCTCTGCTTGCAGGTGGCCCCACAGGTCTGCTGAGGTGGGCGACATGTCTTCAATGCAAGGAGAGATAGAGTGAAGCCAGTCCGTAAAGACCAAGGAGGAGTCGGCTCCGGGCTCTGCAAGCTTGGGGAACTCGCTCCAGCTGTACTTCACTTGCTCTACTGAGGATTCCCCTCCAGCGGTTGTCTGCCCCCCGAGTAGGGCCTGCAGCCCTGCGAGGATGGCATCGGCAGTTGGTCCCGGACTAGGGCCCTCAGAAGGTTGACCTGGCGTTGGAGATGAGTTCCTGGCCCAGGGATTCAAGTAACCCGTCCAGAAGGGTGGTGTTTGGCCTTGATTGGAGGTCTGTACCTGATCTGCAACCTGCGGCAAACCTGGGACCTGTGGCACCTGTCCTGAGGCCTGAGGCAAGGATGACGGCAAACCCTGGACAGGTGGCACCTGCGCCAGCTGCAAACCTGGGACCTGCGGCACCTGATGCGAACCTGGGACCTGCGGCACCTGATGCGAACCTGGGACCTGCGGCACCTGTTGCAAACCTGAGACCTGCGGCACCTGTTGCAAACCTGGGACCTGCGGCACCTGTTGCAAACCTGAGACCTGCGGCACCTGTTGCAAACCTGGGACCTGCGGCACCTGTTGCAAACCTGGGACCTGAGGCACCTGCTGCAAACCTGGGACCTGAGGCACCTGTTGCAAACCTGGGACCTGCGGCACCTGATGAGGATCTGGGACCTGAGGCACCTGCTGCAAACCTGGGACCTGAGGCACCTGCTGCGAACGAGGCACCTGCTGCGAACCTGGGACCTGAGGCACCTGTTGCAAACCTGGGACCTGAGGCACCTGCTGCGAACCTGGGACCTGAGGCACCTGTTGCAAGCCTGGGACCTGAGGCACCTGTTGCAAACCTGGGACCTGCGGCACCTGTTGCAAACCTGGGACCTGAGGCACCTGCTGCGAACCTGGGACCTGAGGCACCTGTTGCAAACCTGGGACCTGCGGCACCTGTTGCAAACCTGGGACCTGAGGCACCTGTTGCAAACCTGAGACCTGGCCTGAAAACTGGGCACCACGAGGGGAACGCGAGACACGAGGGTTGTTAGGGTTAGACCACCCGAACCAATCCAACACCTTACTAGCCGTACCACTCCAGTCCCCCGGCCCCCTAGTCTCCCTACCTGCCAGTCTACTCCTTAGGGCTTCGTTTTCCCTAGCTAGGTACTGCAGCTGCCCTTGGTGCTCACGCCTCAGTGCCTCAAGCTGGCGATGCACCTCAGCCTGAATGGCTCCAGAGCTGGCTGATGCCTCAGATCTCGGCGGTGGCGGGGGAGTCCAGTCCTGCGGCGTCCGACTCCGGTACAACAGCGGCGCTGCGGCCTCCATTGCTTCCAACTGCTCCATCATGGGCTCAGTAAACAGTGGTCCTGTCGGGCAGTCTACGCCTCCATCACCACTTCCTTGAGTTCCTTCTGCCAGCAGAGGCAAGGTCTCTTCTCCCATGCTCGCAGTGCCCACGCTGTAGTAGGCTTCGGGCCCAGAAGAACCTGAGGACACAGGCTCCTGTCTGACACCTGTAAACGTCTGCACCGTCTCCCAGAGGAAACCGGTTACGCCACGGCTGGAAACTCTCCCAGTCGTAGTTGCAACAGCGTTTCCACCAGTCTCGCGTGCTGTGTCCGGTTGCTCGGTTCGTAACGCGTTGTCCGATCCCAGCGTCCGGTCCGGTTGTTCGTTGGCTTGTGAGTCCATGGCCCCATGCTCTGCACCACCTTCGCGCGTGGCACCATAGGCCTCCAACTCACCATGCTCTGTATCTCCATGGCCAGTCTCACTGGTCTGGAGCCATCCCTGGTGTCGGGCTCCGACGATCTTGGCCGGTGGCCTTGGCCATTCAGCAGTGGTCTCGCCGAAGTTGTCGGGTCTTGCGGCTCGGCCGTTTGGGCCATCATAACCTGTAGAAATTAGGCGGGTTGAGGTAGTCGAAGAAGCCAATCACCCAGAGTAAAGAACCCGTGGCCTGCCTCCAAAGTGTTCACCTCCTTGTGCACGAAGTCCCAACCAGACTCTGCCAACCAAGGGGGTCCACTCTTCGGGCGAAAGCAAAACGTGTAAAGGCAAGGTTTGTTATGCCTAGCTTAAACACATGCTTCAGCATGCCAAGAGATCATGACTTAACATGATGCGGAGAAATGACCCTTAGTGGACATGTCGTTGCCACTGCTGAGCCGACACATCCTCGAGGTCGGAAGTCGTTGACCTGCCAGAAATGGGGTGGGGACTTTCAACACCCCCTTATAGGCCTGAGAGTGCTTCGAGCCCTGGAGGCCTTAGAGCCCTTAGAGTCCTTGGAGCCCTTAGGGCCCTTCGAGGCCTTAGGGGCCTTCGAAGCCTTAGCGCCCTTCGAGCCATTAGAGGCTTTAGAGGCCTTTAGAGCGTTCAAAGCCTTTAAAGGGCTTGGAGTCTTTAGAGCCCTTAGGGCCCTTGCAGGCCTTTTGAGAGCCCTAAGAGCCCTCAAGCCCTTAGAGGTCTTAGAGCCCGTAGAGCCCCTTAGAGCCCTTAGAGTGCTTAGAGTGCTTGACACTGTGGGCTGGCAGCACTCCAGGCTGGATGGGGCGGAAAGTGCCATTTTTCTCTAAAAACTTTCCCGGGTCCGGGTAGCCAGGTAAGCCCAGTTTTCCCAATCTTGTAAAATCTTGAAAAATCTTGGATCCGCCACGGACCCCAAAGAGTTAGATTGAGGGAGAGCTCCGCAAAACGCTGCCTGCCAGCTCCAGGCAGCACCAGCAATCTTGTAGAATCTTGTAAAATCTTGAATCCGGAATCCATACAAAAAGGTGTTCCCAGGAACCAAAAACAGTGAGCCCTTAGAGTCCGTCTTGGAGCCATTCGAGGCCTTAGAGCCCTTCGAGCCCTTAGAGACCTTCGAGGCCTTAAAGGCCTTTAGAACCTTCAGAGCCCTTAGAGGCCTTGGAGTCTTCAGAGCACTTAGAGTCCTGAGAGCCCTTAGGGCCCCTGCAGGCCTTGGAGTCCTTTCTGGCCTTGGGCCCTAAGAGCCCTTCAAGCCCTTGGAGCCCTGAGAGCCCTTGGAGACCTTAGAGGCCTTAGAGCCCGTCGAGCCCTTAGAGCCCTTAGAGTGTAACGAAAGTGAACTTTGAAAAGATAAAAATAGAAAAAGAGTAACAAAAACACAAAAAGAGTGAAAATCACTTAAGAAGATACAAAGATATATATATATATATATGATAAAAAGAAAGCCTGAGCCCTAAGCCCTAAACCCTAAACCTAAAACGACTTGGCACGTGCTGCTGCTGAGGACCTGCTGTCCGAGGACGCTTAGACCCATGTTAAAAATGCAATTTTCTTGCACAGAGATAGATGGTTCTGGTGACCCTTCCGTGGGCACCCGCAATCCTAAAGCCTAAATCCGAATCCTAAACTCCTAAATCCTAAACCCTATATAACTCGTAAATGTTAAATCCGAAGTCCTAGTTGGGTACAGCTTCTTGACCTCTGTTGAAGTCAGTCTGCGCTTGAAGTGGAGATTCTTTTTCACGCCTCACATGTATAAGCGCATGTCATGCGTGTATCTATTATTGATGAGATGACAGGAACATATGTTATAAAAATCAGCAATAAACGATACGAAAAGATACAAAAAGATACAAAAAGATACAAAAAGATACAAGAGAGATAGAAAAGATACGAAAAGATAACAAAACATGTAAAAAAGATACAGACAGTTGCAATGAGATAGCATAAAACGATAGCATGAAGATGCCAAGTCAGTGCAAGTTCCGGTTATCTTTCTTAATGTGATACATCCTTCTGGCAAGTGATGATATCTGCGGCTAAAGGGGCTAAGTAACGAGTGCCACTGTGTAAGGTTTATAGGAGTTTTTGGGTTTGTAGGGTTTGTAGGGTTGATGGGGTTTATAGGGTTTATAGGGTTTAGGGGGAGGTTTGGGCAAGGGAAGGCCGTCATAACTCGGGGTTGGCCACAAACATGGCGATTATCCAGATTGACGGTATGCTTCGTCTTCATCAGACTTGCTGGGTGCCGGGTGCTCACGTCCGATAGGCGCGAGCGCAGTACGAAGTCTCATCATCGCAACTAGCCTCGACCTTCAACAGAGAGCCCAAAAAGCGATCCACCAAACATGGGTTTGGCAAATCTTCTGGACTTTGGCCAAGGACTTCTCTAGTGCAGGCAGTAGCCGATGGTCAAGAAACGAGCCAATCTCAATTCCCATTGTCTGCCTGAATCCCCGGGAATCTCTCATCCTCCTTTCTGCCCCGAGGTCTCTTTGGCAAGTCCCCCTAAACCCTAAACTTGGCCCTAAACCCTATCAATCCCATAAACTCTATAATCCCTAACCCTGAAACATCTCCGAGGCGCAGTGGCTTCCCACAGCGACTCAAAGACGTGCAAGGCTCCTCGGCCCAGATACTGCAGCAGAGCTTGTAACCACAAAAGCCTTGCAGCCTACAGTTGCCACCCCCTTTTTTCTGGAACTGGTGTGGGACTCGGCGGGAAGACAAGCAGGAACACTGAGTGCCGGTTGTGTCAGCGCATGTCAGCAACCGCGAAACCAGGGATCTGGTTGCTTGGAGACCCAAGAAGCCCAACCCACAAGTTGTAACATGAAGTTCAACCGAAGCAGATGACATGAGTTGCGCGGTCCCACCAAAGCTCATGAAGATGTACCCAACATACCCGTTCACACCCTTGAATCCAGAGTGCGGGGCGAGGCGCGAGCCCACTCAGAGCCCCGCACGCAAGCGCTCACAGCCGCACTGCACGTGTACACGTTCGGCTCCTTGGTATTCAGGTGCCCAAACATGCGGCTCATGCGACTCTTCAGAGGATCCGCTATGAGCCTTGAGCTTTGACCGGAGGCACAACCAAGGCTTCCTGTAACCAGTGCTCTTCAACCCCAAAATCCTGCCCATCAATTCTCAGCCCTGGCGCGGCTTGCTGGCAAAGCATGGACTCCAGCAAACTCCAAGCTGCAGCCCATGCAAAGCCTCGGTGGCAATCCGGCACATGCCTCCAGGTACTGTAATGCCCCAAGTTGCTTCAGGTTTGTGATTATAAGGGTGCGAGATGGAGCTGGGGGGGTGGGTGACCTCAAAGCTCTGAACGGGGTGCGGAGGCAGGCCCGGCAAATCCACCAACATGCGCGATTTCATTCAGAGAGACGGTTTAACATTGAAGTGTCGACGCTCACACTCAAACGCAGGCAAAACTTCGCACACGTCTCGATTTGCGCGTTTCATCATTGCGAAGGGGCCAGGCTAATCTGTGTTTTTGCGCGCCGCCCGCACCGCAAAAAGGCCTAAGCGCCCCTACTGCAGTACTACGCCAGGCTTCAGTGAAGGTTGCGGGCTCAAAGGGGGGGTGCTCAACACATGCCTCGGAGTAGGCTGGAAACAATGCGAAAAGAAGCTTCGTGCCTAGGCGTTGAGGGCTTGGGGTCTGACCGAGCCACCTTTTCCACATGCACTGATGCAAGCGGTGTAGGAGACCACTGGGGCGGGCGATGACTTCTGCCTTCGTCCGGCTTCTGGCTTCGAGATGTCAAAGTGAAGCTGTTAAGTATGAACGAATATCTATTTTGAATTAACAACGTATTATTCTTCATATCATCTCCAATCCTCAAAAGCAGGACGTGCTCGAAAAAACTACGACTGATCGTGTCGGATACAATACCGTTCTCGTTGCAGAAAATGGTCCTGCACACCGCCAACACTTGCTTAAGAGGGTCGAACGCACACACACACACACACACACACACACACACACACACACACACACACACACACACACACACACACACACACACACACACACACACACACACACACACACACACACACACGCACTCCAACTGACTCCTGAGGTTGCAAACCCGTAAAAGAAGCGGGCCACCGGCGCCTCGAGTCGGATCCCCGGTGCCGCCAAACAATGTACAGGGAAGCGAAACTTTCATTTTCGGGAAAATCATAATGATCGCTGCCAAGATTCCTCTCCAAATCCAACAACCAGACGGCCCATTCCCAAACCGAATGGCGCTCACATGCACTGATGGCAGGACAGCACCTGGTGAATCAGCGATATCGGTCTTTGTGCGGAGGTGGCTTTCTCAATCACTGCCGTGTCGAAGCCGCAGGGTTGTCTGTTTTCTGGTTCCTATTCCACCCTGACTCATCTGCGTGGCATCTGCTCGTTTGTCGAGGGATCTCTGAAGGTAAACTTTGCCTAACTAGCCTGAGAAGACGACGGGTCCTGGTCGGGAAGTTTGCATGCGTTCAGAGGATGTGATTGCTCCCTGTGTCGAAGAGATCACCAGACGCGAGAAGCTGGACGCACCACATCCAAACAAAACCACTTCAACAAGAAAGGCATGTTGGATCCGAAGTTTCCTGAGCTGGTCTGCGAGTGTCTCAACAAGTCTACGCCGTGGCTTGTGACAAGATGTTCACATCTCTGGCAGAGGCACGCCGCCAAGTTCCCCAGTTGCTGTCTCACACCTTTGCGGCGCAGTAGATCCTTGCCAGGAGCTCTCGAGACTTGTTGGGAGTTAAACAGAGAGATTTGCTCGGCTGTCACGCTGCAAGCCCAGCATAGTCTACAAGCACCAAAAACATGGATCGCATGTAGCCATCATCTTGCTCAAACATTTTTGGGCATTTCCCAAGATGCCCAAAATTCCATCAATCCTCATGATAGGAGCCTGCCAACAAACCGCCCTCTTTTCGCAAAGCCCTTTCGAAGTCATGGCGACGAGAGCATGGCTCCTGGATCGAGGCCGCGTCTGCTGCCTCACAGCGCCGGATTCTCGGGGCTGAAGTTCTAGGTTTTAGGTTGGGATGTTCTCCCTTGCACTAACAGTCCTTCATCGGGATTAGAATGGGGTGCACTATAATCCCTATTAAGGCCTGTTAGTGTTAGGGGGAGCATCCCAAGTTTTTAAGTGCCCATCCCCCCCAAAAAAAAGGAACACAGGGTTCTTGGCAATGACAGCTTGCGGGGTAGCACAAGGGAACCCCAAACAAACATACCGAACCGAAAACTGGGAAACCTGATGGTGTGTTCCCCTGAAGCCATCACGATCTTCGTTTGTGCTGCCCGAAGATCCCGAAGATGAATCGTCTTCGGATTGCCGGTTCACACAGCCCTGCATGCATGCATGGCTTTGCCAGCTTGACGTGGTCGCATGATAGCGATGCCGCGACCCACCAGGTCGCACAGTGGCATGCTACCTTGTGACAGCCGGCTAGCGGCATTGCCGTAAGTGGGGTGGCGTTCACCCCTCCCAACCCCCTGGATCGGTTCGCAACTGCGCAAGTCTTGCCGGCCAAGGAGGCGAGAAGAGTCCCGGTGATTCCAACATGGAGTCAAAGAGCACCCCGACAGCTCGCCGGCGACGGCAATAAGAACTGATCCATGATCACAGTGATATCAATGGATGTTTTTCTCCAATGAGCATGACTGATCTCCCGAATGATCATCTCGCTTTCCAGAGAGATGGGCCTTCATTTCTAACTGCAAGCCGCTCGATCCAGCAATGGGATTGCTTAATCCTTGTGTAGCGCCAAAAGCAAAAACGCACCCACCCACCCACACACACACACACACACACACACACACACACAGATGTATATATATATATATATATGTGCATGAATGCTTTCGGGAAAAACCGTTTGACGGTGCTCATGAGACTCGTTAAACTATGTCCTGCGGCCAAAACCCTGCACTCCCTCCACAGTTTCAAGGCCGCCTCTCGCAGTTTCCGAAGCAAGCTTCCACTCGACTCCATGGCACGACTCTAAAGCAAGGCCCGCTAGGCAATATGCTCAAAACTACTTGTAAGTTCTTGCTCATTCTGTGAAAGCATGACTACGCACATGCAGCTCCATTTCGGAGGGTATCAGGAGCCCCGGTGCAAGTTTGACCTCTCTCCTGCGTCGAATGATTCGAAAACCATCGAGTCTCGTAGAGTGCGCTCGCAAGCTCGGGCAACCACATCAGGCTGAGGCCACTCTAGGGAAAGTCTTGCGCATTGAGCCCGACCTAATAACCCTCAGTGCACTCAAAGCTTCCAAACGAAAAAGAGACACGTTGTAGCCATGGAAGCTGAAGAGTAGCCGAGCCGTACTGGGCAATCACAATCGTGGTGCGTATGATTACGCCCGTGAACCACTGACACTTCTCTTCTGCTACACAGCGAAAAAGGGCCCATGCGTGCCTTTGTCACCCCTGAACCCATATCATGTGACACCACGGCGCGGATGACACACTTTCATGGGGCCTGGGCGCTGCAGAGTGACACCCCAATGCGAGCCTGACCAACCAAGCTGCAGGAACTCCTTCTTTGCGCGTTGCTCCCACTTTGCGGTTGCTCAGGCGCTGACCATTCGCTAACTCATGTGCATCGTTGCAGGCACCGCATGGGAAATGTGAACCATGCTGTGTCCGGCTTCGTCTCAATACACTCGACTACACGAACTACACGAACACATCTCGTGCCTCATGTCTCACAAACAGGCGAAGACAGGCACTCTACCCCCTCGCGCCGCTTTCCAACGATGACAGAGAAGAGGTCGTCTTCGACGACAGCTCCTCGTAACAGCTTGCTATGCCGGCAGCAGCAGCCACACCCTTCTCGCACGCGCTGATGGCTGCGTTGTAGGTGACATCCTGGGTTGAGCGCTGCCAGTTTGAGCGTGCATCCCTGAAAGTACGGCCTGGCAACTAGAAACATGGTGCAATGCAAGGCGATGAGATATGAGATACCATGGAAAGCAAAACACCAGCAACTACAGCTGGAATCGAAGAGAATGATTGAGAACGTCATGGTTGGAACACAGGCGCCCAAGGATTTGAGTGGGAGGGAGTTTGTGCCAAGTTCCGTTGCTAGATCCAGTTCGCCCGAGCTTCTGAAATCTCTACCGACGCGGCGCTCAGCTCCGGCAACAGATGAAGTGCGAAGGGCCAAGCCAGCCCTCTTTCGCAGGCTGTCACCTGACCAGAGCCATGAAAAGATTCGCTTGGCATGGAACAACCCCCCTGAAGTACGAGACCCTCGGCCCTTCAGCCCAATGAGTTTGAAATTCAAGTTTGAACCTACAAGTGGAACCTAGAGGCTTACTTGCAAAAAAATGCCAAATCCTGAGCAAGATCCGAGAGAAGTTTGAAGGGAGGGAGAGCACGCAAGAAGTTGACCCTTAAACTTAAGTAAAGCTGGGAAGCCCTTATCAGAGCTGGAGAAACGCCCCCCTCCCCCCCCCCCCAATTGACCTGAATGTAGCCATAGCCCTCCCAAACCTTTTACAAGCAAGCCAAAGCCCTTGCAAAGCTCAGCGCGCCCAAGACATGCCGGGAAACCAGCGCGTTGTAGAGGATGCAGTGCCTGCCCACCGGAGATGTGGCGGAACACTTGAGGCTTAAAAGCGTCCTTAAGTGTCCAACATGCTTTTTGTGTGCTTTGGCTGTGAGAGAACTTTTTCCAGTTGCCGCCGTGCAGCTTCTCCAGGAGCTGGGCCTGGCCCTGCACCAGCAGCTGCGCAGCCACGAGCCACTTGGCGTCCTCTGTTCAAGAGTTGTGAAAGCTTTCGGGGGTGTGAGCTATGTGATTGGCGAGATGTCTGCAGGAAAAAAGAGTCATCCCTCACAAGCTGAACTCCATGCTTTCCCTCTCTGTCTCCCCCTCCCTCCCTCCGGGTGCAGGGTGTGCTGAGGCAGCCCTCCTTCCCGCAAGCGCCCATTGCAGCCCCGTAGGCGACGCCGTCAGCACAGGACACGCTCAGCAGGTCCAGGGTCTGCAGAGCTTCATCAGCACAATTTCTTGAACAGGATCACCGTAGTTCTCGGGTGAGAAATTGTGAGGACCTGAGATTCTGGGCATGACCCCGCCAAACCTCGTCGAAGTCAGAACAGGGTCCAAAACGTAAACGGACATCCGAATAAGAGTTCTCCTCCGAACCAGCTCACCCCTCTTAGGCCGCTTAGACCCGAAGGCCAAAGAGCAAGGCCTTCCACCACCACGCCGTCCTCAGAAGGGCCGGTTCTGCTAAGGCTGCGAACAAAAGCTCGAAGGCTTGTGCGGTGTCGGGTGTGGTGTTTCAAGCTTTTCAGCATATGTCAGGAGGCCTGTGCTTAGGTTAATTCGTGGGGTGATGTTGATACACATCTGTGCACAAAGAGTCACGAAGTCATCGTCAGCAAAACAGCTGAACAAGTTTGAAGGCTCTGCTGCGGCGCTTCTTTAGCCAGCCTTACCTGTTTAGGGTAGAGATGGGTAAGGAGATGGCCGCGCGTTTTTTAATCGTCGCGGTGGATAGCAGCACTTCTGCCTGAGCACTCACCCCGGTTCTTCACACTTCCGTTGTTGTGCTGCTTGCAAAGTTCTTGGCGGCATCGCTGACCATTACGAGGAGCTTTCAGAATCCGATAGCAGCAAGTCTAGGACATCGAGATGGTTGTTCCACCGCGCATGGCAGGGGACCGGTCACGTCGTAAGCGAACCTTTTCGCCCCAAAGTCCAGCAGCAAGCGTGCAGTTCCCATGTTGCCAAGGCAGCCTCATGAAGGGCCGTCCTCCCATCGGCATCGGGAGTGTCTGTTGGAGCCATGGCCTCCAGCAGCAAGCGCACAATTTCCGCATCGCTGGTAAGATGCAGACTAGTACGGCCATCAGTGGCTGAGGCCACGTCTGCACAAGCACCAGCATTCAGGAGCAAACGCACTGCGTCGGCATGGTCAGCGCATGCAGCAATCTGCAATGGGGTGTAGCCAGTGTCATCGACAAGCTCCATGCTGGCAGCAGCCTCCAACAACAAATGCACCATTTCCGGATGACCATGTTGACAGGCCTCGCAAAAAGCTCTGCCTTAGCAAATTTACTCTTCATGAATTCAAAGCACAACACGAAAAAAAGACTACTGAAACCCTTTACCCAGACAAGCACAAGCTAGAGAATCCGCAAGCCTTCTGCCTGGCCGCCATTGACGTCAGCCACATTCGGATCAGAACTTGCCTCCAGCAGCAGGCCTGGCACTTCCAATCCATCTGAAACTCTGGAGCGTTTTCAATTACAGGGCTTCGTGGAGTTTAAAAGTGAGCTATCAAATCTCACTCCTGTGTTCGGGGTCAGGCAACGCTCAAAAGTACAAGGCTTGCCAACTGGACCACTGAGAGGCGTGCGATCTCTACGTGGCCTTTTCGGGCAGCCTCAACGAGGGGCACCCTGCCGCTAGAGTCCTGCAGGTTTGGATCTAGGGGCCGCTGCAAAATTTCTTCGACTACATCCCGGCGCAGAGGGCTATCAGCTGCACGCGCCAACTCATCTCTGCTTTCTGCACACTCGCAGAATGGCAAGAGAACCAAGAGGACATCATTGGGCAAATTCAGAGTCTCATCGTCCCCCAGAGCACGGCCTTCGTGCAGAAGCCTTTGTCGAAAGCGTGGCACCCCACACACTCCATGCAAGTGCTGCTTCAGCATCTTCACATTCTCTGACTCGGAGCTTTCCGCAGGAATCGTGGCCCACTTCTCTCCCGAAACTCGCCAGACATGCAGCATGGCACTCAAGAAGCAAACTGAGGCTTTCAATATGCATGATTCCACCGGGCAGGATAACCATAGATTCATAGATTCATAGACACAGAACAGCACCCCTCCCCGCCCCCTTTAATTGAGGGTCCACTGCAAAGTGCACTATGCTGCTGCAAGGCAGGGGGACACTTGCTTCAACCAAATGCTTGAAAATGTTCCCCTGTTTGTGTGCCCGTGTTCAAGCGCCTGCAACGAACCGACCCATGGTTAAACGGGTTTAGTCTTCAGATTTTGCTGTAGCGAGAGCAACCCTTAGCCCCCACTGAAATCCCTGAAAACCTTTTGAAGTTCAGGGTTTCAGGAACAGGGTGCAGGAACGCGGGCCCGAGCCCAAGCCTATCGGGCTTTTCGCGGCTTCAGGGGCTTAGGCTAGAGGGCTGTAAGTGCTTCAGGACACTTCGGGGGCTGTCTCAAGAGCCCACCCCCAGAAACCCCGTGAAGTCCTAGAAGCCTCAGCCTTCCCACAGCCTTTAGGTACACACCAGCCGTTCTTCGAAGCTCCACAAGAATCTTTTGAGGCAGTCGTACAACAAGATAAGGGTATATGAGAGCTCTAGACCTTGAACGCTGTAGCCACTACAGTTGCAGCCGAACCGAAGTCTGAAACTTTGCGGGGCAGGATACATGGGAATTAGCAGATGGCAAGCCCTGAAACCTCGGCTCTCTCGGGTGTTTTGGAACCTTTTTTGGCTTCCTGACAAGCGTCTCAGAAGATGCCACAGCTGAACATCCAAGGATATGAGCGTCCACCGGCCTCGCACCGTCTTGCCCCAGATAAAAAAGCAGAGGTGTCATGAGTGTCATGCTCGCTAGTTCGTCAAGAAGGTGCTTGTAACAGGGTGATTGGAGGGTTTCGACATGTCCGCGGCCAGATGTCTTGTAGATTTTGTCAAGGTTAAGTGGGCTCCACGCAGAAAAGGGCCAGTCATTCTGACAAGTTCAGCACGTTCTCCAGCCAGACAAACTAGCCGCATGCCTCCAAACTTCTAACCCTGACTACGGCTAACCGGCAATTTGGTTGCTTTCAAAGCTGACATAAGCCGACGAAACTGACGAAACCCTCGAAGTCAAATCGAGCCGAAGAAGCTTCAGGATACACTCCATTGCAGCAGCTGGAACAAGCTGCGCTGCCATCTGCCTGAGGGTGTTGTGGCCCGGCTTATGTGGGGGGGCTTCTTGCTCTTCGTCTTCTTGGTCTTCTCCGCAGCTCGTCCCACACGCACAGGGCGAGTCGGGGGGACGGACCGCAGGATCGGGGCAATCGAAGGCGAACACACAGCACCAAACAAGGAACCCCCCCACCCCCACACCCCCCCCCCTCGCCCACCGAACCCACAAAGAAAACCCCGCAGCTCCCAGGAAGGCTCTTGGGACCTCAGCTTGGGCCTTGGAAGCTGATTCAAGCCAAGGGTGCCACTGCGTCGCCCGGCTGCAGACATCCGTGACAGCAGTGAAGGTGACGACATCCTCAAAGCGTTGAATAACACAATTGCTGCAGGCAAACTAGCCCTGCGAGTACCCAACAACGAGGATGGGGCGCGCAAGAATGCGACATGGGACCTGGAACTCAACAACTACATTGCAGTATGGGGCTCTTCGACAAAGCTGAGCTTTAATTAGAGCAGCAGCCCACATTGAACTCGGGAGCAACCCCAGATGCTAAACGAAACCTGGCAGCAGGAACTTGACTGCTCACACGCAGCTTGCGCAGTGCGCCCAGAGAAGGCCGCCACTCCTGAGGTGTGATGCGCAAGCACCAGAAACTTGAGAAACAGCGAGTGCTAGCAAGCCCCACAGCATGAGTGGGTTAGGGGGCCCCACAGCATGGGTGGCTTAGGGGGTTGCACTTCCTTCTGGCACCCTACGCCATCAGTCAGCCTGTTGCCGGCGAAACGGTCTTGCTGCAACTGCTGAATGGGCTCGGCGTCAGCTGCGCAGGCGGCACAAGCGGCGTTACAGCCAGGCAGAGACACCTCGTTCAAAACAGCCCCAGAGCCTGCCGACCACCCCCCCCTCCCAAATTCAAAAAAACAAGAACTGAAACCATGCAGCCCTCTGAACGCCAAGAACCGGCACAACATCACCATCAAACTCAAAACGCGAGGCCCGCAAATGTTGGACCATCAGCCCGAGCATCTTGGCCTGCAGTGCCCGCTGTGCGGAGTCGGCGAGAAGAGACGCGGCCCGGGGCCAGTTGCTCTCCTCCGGAAAGTAGAGTTCATATTCTTGGGACCATGCTCGGGTTTAGAGCCCAAAGGCATAAAAGTACAACCGCTTTTTGGTGCCTCCGCAGATCGCCATTTACTGGATGCAGTGCCAACTGGCGCAGGGCCAAGTGAAGGGCGGTTAATACAGAGGTAGAGCCGTTAACAGCCTGGGCCTGTCCCTCCTGAGCAGGTTTACCAAGACTAAGACTTGATGTGGCGGCTGGATGCTTCAGCAGACTGAGGTTGGACAAGGTATACCTACAACGGAGTCAATGAACGCCAGCAACTGAGCAATCCACAACATCCACAAAACATGCACAGCGTCCAGCGATGCACAGGCAGACGCTGCCAAAGCTGCGTCGGTCTTTGTGGCCGAAGCAGCCAAGGCACGAAGGACCTTGGTTGTTTGGGAGTGTAACAAAGTTTAGGTTTGAGATACCATGCTGGCTCCTTCCATGGCCCTGAGTTAGCACAAGCTGATGATACTTTGTGTGAGCTGCCGCATGTTGACATGGCGTCGAATAGTAGGACTGGCTACAAATTTCTGAAGAGTCGACCCCGGGAGATTCTATAGAGCATCCGAACAAAGCCCTCCTTCTGGGCGCCCAGCTTCGTGGGACTCCTCCCAGCTACCTTTGCTGCGAAGTGCCCCAAGGGTGGCCTCGGATGCAAAATGGCTCGAAGTCCTTGTTGGTGAATTTGGGAAACAGTGCCATCCCCGAATCGAAATCGGCCTCACCGGCACGCAGCTGCGTAGCTGATTCACTACCCAATGAAGCTATTGGAGCGGAGGCTCCTACAGCTAAAGTAAGCCAAAAACTCACAGCAACGCCGTCAACCGGAACCATCTCCCCGCCTGTGTCAAGACGAGTTCCCTCAGTTCACTCCCTGCGCTCCCCGCATTGAGCTGGGCCCGCTGACATCGCTTGCAGCCGTCGAAAGTGATGAGACAGCCCTGGGACCGAGGAAGGGACCCGGCGCTCCATGCTTTGTGGGGTGCCTTCTGATGAACTACCACGAGCTCCAAAATGTCCCAACCGGATCAGGAACACATTGGGGAAACATGCCGGAACGCCAAAAGGACATACCGAGCCCAACGGAAACTCGCATGGAGCCTGTCCCGCATCTCCTGCAGCAGGCTTGTGCATGTTGCCCAGCACCCACCCTCTCGTAGGGCCTCAAGGACTGCGCGAAAGCCATGAGCCTGCTGCGTCGTTGTTGCATAATCGCTGGTCACTGACATCGGGTGCTTGTGCGGATGCTGCACTCTGTGTACTCAATATGCTGGTCATCGAGGTGTGCTTAGTCACGGACGGAATGACTGAACTTGGCCGAAACAATGGCGCTACAGCATTTGCTGCTAGAGCGGCTGATGCGAACGCTGTGTACGATGCCAGGCTCCTCAGTGAGAGCGCAGCCGGGTGACGAATTCTGATCTCGAGCTGACTGTGCTGCTTTTCGGTTACCAAACCCCCACCCCCCCACCCGGCAATACTACGAAGGCTAACCTTGCCGAACAAGGCTCGGACGAAGCAACGCGTGCCAGGATGCCAGGAGGGCGCCAGCCCGGTGCCAAACGTGGCGGCAAGCCAGCAGTGGCGAAGCTGCAGAGGGCGAGGGATTTTTTTTGGCACCCGACTAGCCACGGCACAGCGGGGTTAACTGGTTGGTCTGGGGAAAATTCCAGGCGAGGGTTTAGGGTTTAGGGTTTGAAGAATAGTGCAGTTTCAAGGTAAAGTTTGCGCAACAGCCGGAGAGCGCGACGCAAACTCGCATTCCCGAAGACGCAAGTCCAGAAACGACAGCCCCAAAACCCACACGGGGATAGAGACAACTCGAAGTCGCGTTGAAGATTCGATTTCCGTTTCGTCCAGAACTAACTAATATTGGGCTCGAGTCCGCTTGAGCCTGCAGAATTACATATATTGACTGCACATGGGCAGAAAAGCACCCTGCGTGGATCTCCGCAGTCTGCTTGCAGTCTGAAGATCAGCACGGGGAACCAAAAGAAACGCTTGGATTCTTTAAGCTCTTGCCAAGGTGCTCTGGGCGAGATCAGGTCCTGGCAGCCCTCTATCACCCCAGCCCTAAAACCAGAAATCGCCGACCCGTGGGTTGAGCAGGAACTGAGACAGGCATGCTGAGTGCAACGCTTGCTATAGAACGTCTTTCGGTGGGGGTCGAAAACGGTTTGCACGGGGCTGTGCATGTCTAACATGATGGCTTTGCAAGTCGGGGCCCCGACTTCAAGTTGATGGATCGCCCTAGCAAACACCCGTACCGAAACCCCAAAACCTCGAAGCCTAAAACCAAAACCGCCAAGGACGAAACCCGTAAATCCCAAAAAAGCCCGCCCAGCACCTCTGTCACCCCTGTCAGGGTATGAGAGGGGGCATCTCACTCGATATTTCGACAATCTGCTGCTAGTATTGGGTCTTCGAGTCGGTCGCTTCGAGCCCCTCGTAGACCAACCGAAGCATGGCTGGGTCTGGCTTGGGGGGGTTGCTCAGAGCGCACATGGGACTCTAGGCACCTCTTCATATTGCAGCGCTTGGCGCGCGACCTCGCAGAGCACACCCTGGACCTCGCAGTTCCCCTTGTCCTCCAAGGCCGGATCTGAAAGCGTTCTCGATGCTGCTCAGGGCCTGCATCCAACCTTACCGCTGCCATGTCAGGTTTTATTTTCGGGCTATGGTAGAGGGCTTGAGCGCCACGCCACTAGCCCTTACCAGAAGTTGTGGAGTAAAACCTTTTGCTCTGAAGACCGAGAAGCCTCCAAACCAACGACAGTTCGTATGCCTGTACCCTGGCGCAGCTGCGCAAGGTTGATGTGCTATAGCAGGCCTGAAAACCATTATGTCTATCAGTTGTCTACTTACTCTTGGGACACGTGGGTCAATGCCCTCTGTTTGCGGCTCCGGCAGCATCGGCCACGTTCGAGCGCAGTCAAAACGGTGTTGTAGGAGATCCTGATAAGCGCAGGTAGGTTTCCTGTTGCGGCCTGAAACTAAGAACCTTGTAAGTCAGGGTTTAGGCTAGGGCTTGTTGGTGCAAGACACACAGAGCTGAACCCGACTGGGGCCTTCCTCTTGACTGCAAGGAGGAGGCGTGGCATTAACTCACTGCGCGAAGGGCCTCTACCTCACTGTTCCACTTCCAGCGAGCCCCCCCGAGGAGTTTTAATCTAAACTTCAGCCACGGCTCACATCCATTCGCAAGCAAAGCTGGCGGCAAGCGTCCTGCAGATGCGGTGGGGTCATAAAAATCATGAAAACGAGTCTGAATCCAGAAATGATCAAACCAACTGCCTCAAACTTCAATGCCCTGAACCACAGCGCTCCAAGTCGTGGCTTGCAGCTTGCCAAAGCCTGCTGCATGTCAAGGAGCCTCCGTCGGGTGAGGTGTCAGGTGTCATGTTTACTTATGTTGCATTCGCTTTGGGAGATGACGTTTATACGTGAAGCTAGCGAACTCAGGGTCTGGACATCGGAGTGCTCAATCTTCCGGAAATCCTCTTGGGCCTCCCAAACACCACTGTTAACCGATTCAAGTCCCACAAGCCTTCAACTCGCCCTGAACACCACGTCCGTCCGACAGCCCTCAGGGAGCGTCGCATAGCTGGACTGAGCTACATTGCAAGGCCAAGTGTGTCCGCGTGTCGTTTGAGAGGCGAGTATACAAGTTCTGAAGTGAACGGCAAACCTCAGAGAAGCACCAACACCACTCACCACACGGCACGAATGGACAACCCCTAAACCCTAAACCCTAAATGAGAACCGGAGATTAGCACCAACATCATCACAGAGGCTGAGCTGCGTGTTGACCACGACGACATCCCTCGGATTCTACAGACTTCAACAAGACTTCAGATTACTGTGCCTGGGGGTTTTTGGGATGAAAAGTCTGGAGCTTCCTTGTCCCTTTACG